GTAACTCCCGAGCTCAGCAACCCCTGCGATTCACCCTAACGGCTCGCTTAACCAAACAACCTTGATAAATTATGCAAAAATCAACAACACTACGAAATGCATCTCCCATGCTGCGGCTGGGACGACACGAGTCTCCTGTTACGGAATTCCAAACCTTTCCGCTTTTGATTTTACGTCGGACAGAGCGCGAGCATAATTTTATCTCACAAATGTATTCGAATTAATGAGCTATATAAATATATTTTTTGGCAATAAAAAAATAATAAAAACTACGTTAATAAATTATTATAGATGATGTATCTATATTTAGTGCAAAACACATTGTAATTAAGAAGTTAATTAAGAACAGGAAGGAGGTAATAAACGAAGCGAGTGATTTCCAGAATAATAATTTCAAAATGTACCTAAGTAGCCAGTTATCCAAAAGTTAAAAGCGTATTATAAATAATAATTCCGCAGCTCTTTATGATTGCACTTTTTCTGATTACTGATAAACTCGTCTAAAATTCAGTGTTCATCGAATAAAATTATCCGTTCGTTCGGGGAAAGCCGTGAACGCGTGCTCGTACTTGCGCACAGAAAAGAGAGAATGCACGTAAAATTACTTTACAACCTTTTACAGGATGGCCGCTACATTTTGCGTATTTTATTAAAAAATTCTGACGAAATATGATTTTATTACGGTACACGCGGCAGCTGTGTTTCGCCGTTAAAGGCTTTCGTGTCATTCGTGTATCGACGCGCGCGCTGTAACGCGACGCAACGCGTCGCGACGCGACGCGACCCGTCAAATCCGCGAACCAATAAATGAATATAACCCACGCGTGAGAATAAAATCCGTTGCTAAACTGCGCAACAGGTGTTAGAGGTTATTGACAATCTTTTCATCAGGGGATGACGGTGTTTGTGTGATATCTCGTCGAATATCGGCGCCGACAATTTCCCAGCGCACAAAGTCCGGCCCGGTTCGCTGTTTATTAAACCAGATGTCATTTTTTTTCATATTCAATTCTCTCTCTCTCTGCACTCTCTGCCGGCTTTGCCGGATTCCGCCTGGGCACGAGCACAAAATTAGAACAGTTCACCGTACGTCGACAAGTACGTTAATTTTAATTTTTGTCGAAGCGCGTATTGCGCTTAGAAAAATATTTTATTCGATTGTTCTATCAATCAAAATTTTGGTTAAAATGTATCGAACAAAACTATTCAGTTGGTATAAACAAATATTTTTGTCACTTAAAATTATTTGACAGAACAAAGCAGAAAAGTGTATTTCTTAGAAAAAAGTTTTTGTAATATAAAACAAAGTACTTGGTTGCTGTTCCACAAATACTTTAACTAAACAGTTTTGCTGAAGGCGCTAAATTTTATTTCTTAGTACTGATACCGAAATTCTTGGAAAGTGTAATAATTTTTTTGAAAGCACCAAATTTTATTTCTTAGTACCGACGCCGAGATTATTGGAAAGTGTAGCGATCGATCCTAATTAATCATACACGAGGAAAAATAAATTTTGTTCATTTTGTTTAAAATACTATATAAATTGTTTTACAAAATGTATAAGATATTCCTTTGATTATCAATATAAAAAATAAAGAAGTAAAAATTTTTTTTCAGGAAGCTGTTTCGCGGTTCTAAGATTGACTCTTAAGATCGGCTCGAAGAAGGCAGTCAGCTGAAAGGTAAGAATTACTTTTTCGTAGCGATCGTTAAACTAATAAATTTAGCGAGGTGCACTATAAAGCGCGGATACATGTATTGATGCCGCGCAGTCTGGAAACCGTCGCACTGTTTCCAATACGATCCTCTCTAAGTGCAAGTTGTTCGTGGCGAAAATGGGGTAGTGTGTATCTTCAATCACGGGTATTCCCGGCATCTCTCCCACTCTCCATCGGAGGGTCTGTTATCAATACCAGCGTCACGCTCTCGGCATTGTGTCGCGGTTCGGTACCGCCGCGAGAAACAACGCGAACAACAACAACAAACAACAACAAACTAGACCGCTGTGAAGTCTGCCGCGCGCTGTCCGTACCTACCTACCTACCTCTACCCGCGACCTGCTTTTCCGACATTGTCACCAGACCATCTTCAGTTATCGCGCCGATTTATAGCCATGACAGTTTCTATCTTACTCGCTGTACGTTCTCTCAATGAAAGTTTGCTGTCATTTTATGTAATTTTGCGAAGACAGGACATTTAAAGCAACTATACGTAGCTTAGAAAAGTCATAATGCTTGTGATTAAATGTAAATTTTACAAGCTAGCTTTCAGTAGACTGTATACCTGAATACTTGGACGGAGACGAATATGTGTAACATACCCGCGCGACGTAACATACTTGGCAGTAATTACATGCAGATTTAAATTTTCAAAAACAGATAGCAAAAAGTAAACGAGTCTCATTAAAGCGTATAATTGATAAGTTACTCTTCTAGATACCTTTCGTATTATTTAATTGTGTGAATAATGATATAACCGTAAATAATATAACATGACATTTAACGGCTCAGATTCCATGATACAAACGAGATAAATCATTCGCATTCTGTGAAATTATGTCAGGTGAATTGCAATAGCTTTAGTATTTTGGCAATTTCAAATCTTAGATAGAAAGGACCAAACGATATTGGATGATGTGGATTAATATTTGGCTACGTTGTGAACAAGAAACGGACGCGTCGAAGCTATTCGAGGGCGTCTCAAGCAGGAGAATAGGAAATTATGCTGAGCATGATGAATACATCAGAACAGGTCGGCTTTAGTCTGGTCTTAGGAGTAGGTCGAATCGATAACAATAACTACATGGACATCTATACTACTACCATACGTGATACCAGAGATTCATTTACGACGACGGGACTCCGTCAGTCTCCTAGATGTAGCATGTTTTAACATGCAATGCGTGTTTAAAGATGCGCGAAATATATACGATAGCTTAGTTGAATTAAAAATTAAAAAAAGAACTTAACCGGCTCAACAATTTAAAATCATAAATAATAAGAAAGAGAGCTAACGAGCCTGACTAGGTGTTCTTGTCAATAATTACAATTTAAATAACTTTAATAGGTTTTCTAATAATACATAAAAATATAAATATAAAACGTTTCGACCTTTAATGTGATCCTCTTCAGTGGTTGACAACTAATATTTGTATCAATCACTGAAGAGGACTACATTAAAGATCGAAACGTTTTATATTTATATTTTTATGTATTATTATAGAAAACCTATTAAAGTTATCTAAATTGTAATTATTGACAAGAACAACTAGTCAGGCTCGTTAGCCCTCTTTCTTACTATTTATTAGTTAAATTAAATTCTTGTTTTTAAACATAGTATTTATTACTTGAATTGATTATTTATTATTTAGATTTTGTAACGAAACAAAAACTATGTAGTCTTCTCTTAAAATGAAAAACAATCGCCGTGATGTTTTAAGACATAATTTATAACTGGCTTAATAGAGCACTTATATGTTTATGTCATTTGATTATTTCGGTTTACACAGTTAAAATTAAACCCACTTAAAGATTAAGATCAAGACTAGCAATGATAAGTTGATTATTAGATTGTAATACTAAAAATACATCATTTAAAAAATAAGAATGTTATGTTAAAATTAGTACGAAAAACTAATAAAAATATCTTATAATGGAAACATTTAATGATTAATTTTAACGTTGATATGGAATTGAATATTTTTTCATAATTATTTCAAGAGAGATTATAAAAATACAACTATTCCATTATTAACAATTAGCGTCGTGGAATTTCCTGTCATTGAAAGGCGGAAAACAGACCCAAAGGAAGCTAATGAATTGTATCGGGAAATAAACCGATGTAAATTGGAAAACACAACGTGGGTCAGCACGCCGGGCGACGATCGCCGAAGTGCGTCGCGGCGCAACCGACGGGACTGCCTCTCTCCGGAGAGCCGAGAAACACCCACGCTACGCGTGGAGCGACAGAGAGAGAATCCGTCTGGATGGAGACGGAGGATCACCCCGCGTGAGTGCCGCGATAACGCGCGCGACGAGGACACTCGGTGCTGGAGCGACGAAGAGGTGGTGGCCGTCAAACGGAGGGAGACACCGCCACGGCCGCTGCGCGACGTCGACGGGAGCGAGACGCCGCGATGGTCCTCGCAATGCGCCGACTCAGTAGCCGCGTGCTCGCCACGGCCGGAGGGTTTCGCGGCTAAGCGGTGCCGAGCGTCGCACAGTCGCGACGGCAGCCACCGGCGCGCGGTTACCCCCTTTTCTTCAAACCTGCACACGCAACCCCGCACCGCTACGTTCGGCGCACGTTTTGCCTGTCTCCACGACGGCGAGGGAACGTTGCCCCAGGTTGCGAGAGAGAGGGCGTCCTCCGCGGCCGCCCGCCGCCACCCCCCTCCGGCATTCATCTCCGGAGACAGAGAAAGAGAGAGACAGAGAGAGAAAGGGAGGAGGAGAGAGAAAGAAAGAGAAAGAGGGAGAGAGAGAGAAAGAGAGGGAGAAAGAGAGCGGCGTCGCCATCGGCGTCTTCGGAAATCGGTTGCCTCTACTTCACCGAGGCAACAGCGGCGTCCGATTCGGCATCGTTCTTTTGACGTCGCGGCGGTGCACGTGGCGCGCGCGGCACGCGGTGCTTCGAGAGAAAGACAGATAGATAGGTAGACAGTTAGGTGAATAGGTAGCGAGCGCGAGCTAGAGAAGTCGAGAAGGTCAAGACGAAGACAAAGAGGACGAGGGGAGAAAGAGAGAACGCGGGAAAGAGAGAGAGAGAGAGAAAGGGAGAGAGAAAACATAGAGTGGTACAGGAGGAGGAGAGAGGTGGAAAAGGGGTAGAGGTGACAGAGAGACAGAGAGCGAAAGGGGGTGGGCGGGAGAAGAGAGGATAGAGGCGAAAAGAAACGGAGAGCACGAGGAGCTGCGTCCCGACGGAGAGAAGAAATCATCAAAGAGAGTCATACGGAGCCTCATATCTTCCTTCCGTTTTTTTTTCTGTCAATCCTATCACCGTAAAGAAGGACGGAGGAACCGACGGACACGAGTGAATCGACGAGGAGGAAGCGGGACATGCTGGAACCACGCTGGAGACCCGTCCAGGTAGCCTTATTCACCCTGCAACACTTCTCCAGTGCACTGCCTATGTCATCTGATTGAACTGCCTGCCTGCGTGCAAATGCTCATTCATATAATGCACCTACGTCACATAAATATCCTCTGCTGTTTTTACCTCTCTCTCTCTCTCTCTCTCTCTCTCTCTCTTTCTTCTCTTCTCTCTCTTTCGTGTTTCGTCCAATTTGCTTTTTCTCTCTTTTATTCTCCACTCAATCGTTTGCTTGCTTTGCTAGTTGTGTTATTTTTTTTTGTCACCAACTTCGTACGTTTCTGACGCTCTTTGCATCGCGCTGCAGACACTGGTGACAGCCACGTGCCACCGGCGCTCCCCTTCGCACGCCGCCGCTGGAATTTGGAGTACTCCTTTTAAACGCTTCATCCGTTTAACCGCGCATTTTCACGATTCAGTCATCGACTCTTTGTTACTTTCCAAAGTTTCGATCGCGTGGAACCTTTATTTACACACTTACTCTTGCGTCGCGATTAATTTATTAATTTATTGGGAATGCAGATTTATTCATCGGGACAGAAATTTTGTTTTTATTGAACGCCTTTTTATTTTGAGTGTAACTCCAAATTTGCGTAGCTTTTTGTCTTTTCTTTTCATCACTGTTATATCATAGATTCAAAACCGTGACATTGTTTATATGTAGTTTAATAATGCGTACAAATATAATTTGACGTTTCAGTTTTTCTCCTCTTTCCGCTCTCTTTTTCTCTATCTTGCCATGACCTGTGTCAACAATTCTATTGTTGACACAGGTCATGATTTTTTGTTGTAATGTTAATTCGAAACATTTAGAATTACTACCGCTATTTAATAGACAGCTAGATTTTTATTCTTTCGCACATTTTAGAAATTGTATTATCGCTGTGTATTTTGAAATTATCGCTAAGCTTAGAACATCCAGCGCGTGGTACGATTCCGTGCCACCATTAAATCTTATAAATTACGTTATAAATATAGACATTCGAGATTAAATAGAAACATAAGAGTGCGGACGGTGCGCGGAGATCGGCGAATATTTCGCGCGATTTACTTTAATCGAATTTAGGTCGTGGCAAAAATAGAAAGGACGTAAATGGAGATTATGGCGCGGTACAAACTTCGAACTAATCGATCACCATGAAGAAAACGCGCGTTTCAACGATACCTGTCGTCTCTTATTTAATCACTGTCAATCCGACGATTCGAAATTGCATATAAATATTATTTACCTAATGCCCTCTTTAGTCCTTTCGTAAATTAGCGGGTTGAGCAATATGTTGTTGCCAAAATTGTGTGGATGTGGAAATAGAAACGTTATCGCGTTATCGCCAGTAAGAGTTGCCAAGACGAGATGATTTAGCGCATCCCTCTCTGTAATGTTAAACAAATTAAATACGACGTTACCGTTAATGCAGACAAATGTTCCTTACCCCGAGATCTCCTGATTGATCCTGCACTCCATCGGGGCCCGGGGTGATATTCGTGGAAATGACACTTTAACGATCGTGACAAGACAAATAGGTGCGCCGGACAACCGGAATGGTTGGTCAAATAAATCTCACTATACCGGCCTAAGATTAACTACATTCGGGCTACTAAATACGTACCTGCCTCGGTACAGAAATCTTTGCGCGGTGTAAAGAGCGCATTTTTGCCGAAAATAATCTTGGCAGAGGTGCGCCGCCTTTGAAGCTGCCTGGAGTCGCGGGGTAATCTAATATCGTATGAATCATCGTGCCATTGGCTGAGGAAGTCCAACGACTTGTTTCGAAACGCTTCTGACAACCTGACAAAAATTCCTATTTCGTGTTTCATCGTCTGTCACGCAACGCCTGCATAGCGTTCATCGGGGGCCTTTGCTACCACGCGAGTAACTTCAAACAAAGCGATCAAATGGAGAGATCAGTGATCATTACTTACGTTTGTGTGAATTATGCCCGAGCTACTTTGATATGTTGACTGCATCGAAGTAACGATCGCCCGTTTATAACTTCCGTTAAATCCGTTTTCGAGTTACGCCAGTAGATTTATTAATATTATACGTACAAAATTAGTTACGATATTTAACATGTCTATCTAAACAACACGTGCATTAGAATCAACATCTGCGAATTATAAATCGAACTTGCTGTATGTATGTTCAACAAGAAATACATTGTTTTTATTTTTTTAATTATGACTGAAATTAACTTTCAATCATGACTTTAGAAATTTTTCTCAAAAATATGGACGTGAAGTTTTGAGCTTATAAGATTAATGTTATCATTTTGCATGCAATCGCAAAATATGGAAAACGATATTATATTTTTACTATACTATTTTTTAGATATAGGTTTTTGGAGTGCAATACATTGAAGCAGTTAAGATATTCTCCTTTGACATAAATATAAATTGACTTATATATAAATGATTCTCTTTCTTTAATATCTCTGCTTTCTATAATACAATTGCGATATTATTGTCGATGCAGCTTTTGTATAAAAATATTGTACGAAACGTTTGCAAAATGAACTTGAATTTATGGCCAATGGTCCTTTGAATTTAACAGTGGAATCTTTTCACTCCTTCGGACGAAACATCAGAGATGGCATCGTCGCGCAATCGAAAGGGTGAGACAGAGGGTGACGGCAGTTACGCTTCAATCGGGAAACGCGCCGTGTTACCTGGGAATAGGGGTGATTTTTTTCAGAAGTGTATAGCCGATAGAGATAGTCGGGGTGCTCCCGGTCGCGGCTTTGTGTGGGTGGCTCGTTTACGAGACTGTAGAAGTCCCGGGTGGTGTAGTAGGTGGAACACCAGAGACGGAGGCGGTCCTACCCTGCTTGGGGGCGTTAAAGAAGTAGGTGGGGTTGGCCACCCCCGCGCGTCAACCCTTACACCCCGCGTCTCCGAAAGCTCAGTGTGCCCCCCCGGATCTCTTCGATCCCACATTCGCCAATCAGCCGAACCATCCCGTTCTTTGTCACCCTCTACCTCTACGACGAGGGCTGCCCGGCGCGGCCATCTGGTTGTCTGGCTTTCCTTCGGGTGACCGTCGATTTCTTCAAAATTCAAAGATCAGCCTCTGGCGAGTGCAGGAGACGGAGCGGAGACAGGCAGCAGTCGAGGCGAGCGTCCGACGGACGTACCACGAAGACCGCTGCGTGTTCTCCGTTGTCGTACGCAGCCGGTTGATCGATTCTTCTGTGTCCGTTGGGTAGTTGGTGTTTTGTGCGCGATATCGGCGTCTTGGAGAATCGAGCGCGGGCTCTCTTCCCGGCTCTCCGATGACACCCTGGCCTGGGGTGTCACGCCTTCTTCATGCAGTCGCGTCGGGACGATCAGGCCGACCACGGGGAAGAGAGTGGTGTGCGCGTCAATCGTGATATATATTTCGCATCATCCCCGCCACCTTGGCTTCGCCCATTTTCTCACCTCCTCCGCCGCCAGTTCAGACGTACGTGCCGAGTACGCGCGCGGTTGCACACATCCACGGTTGCATATACACGAATACGGAGTGCAACGAGAGCCAGCACAGCTGCGGCGGCATAGCCCCCCCGTTTTCGCGCTTGCTTGGCACGGCACAGCATCCCTCTTCGGCCACTTCCGGCCAGGCCAGGCTCCGCCCACTTTTATATTAATCACGTCTTGGTTCGCTCCTGGCTTCTGTTCTCCATCTTTCTTCCCCAGTGAGCGATTTCCTACCGCGGACGCCTGGGAACCACACCTTTACCCGTTGGCTTATTCATGTCCCGGGCCTTGCGACGCGGGCTCTCTCTCCCTCTGTCTTCCCCCCTTCGTCTCGCCGTCGATCTCGCGGAAATACGGCGACGATGCGCTTTAGACGTGACGGTGCAAGGCTGATGGAGATATTCACGTAGCTGTTCGCAGACAAGCTTGCGTTGGCTTCTCCGACGCATCAAGACGTATAGTTCAATTAATTTATATATACGGCGAACGGTGGTAACAATGTGTTCCGCAGAAAATGACGTAAACGAATTAATTTTCCGCTTAGAATTCACACAACTCGATACTATTTTCGAATTCATCGTATTTGTTTTCACATTTCGATAATTTAGCCACGCGATACGTTCAATCATGTTATATATGTATATCATCATTCTTTCAATACCTTCATTGACGCATTAATTGCAAGTAGCTCGTTGATAACTTTTTAAGATAAATATTTGCAAATATTTTAACCCTGTTGAAGATTGCTGCTCTATGCGCATGGTGAGTCTCTCGGCGAGAAATGAATCGCAGCGAGGCGCAGGTGAACGCAACGTTCGTGTGTTCGATGCCGTAGTAATGAATAATAACCTGTTATTATTACCAGGTCGAGCAATAAACACGCAGCTCGCAAGCGCCGCGCTCCCCTCGCCGTCGCAATAAGCTCGTCACGCATAGACACGACATTTGTTTCCCGCGCGAGTGGAGTGTGCACAGGCTATTACGAATGCCACCTTCCTCCACCAACAGATATTGGTTCCATTGTTGTACGTTGTGTATCGTGACTGCTTCTCCGCCGCTTCCGCCGCAGTCGCGACCACTTCGCCACCACCTCGGCCCTGGGTTGATATTCCACCTCGTGTCCCTTCGCTTTTAATTTCTCTTTTGACAGAAACCCCCGCGCACCCTCCTCACTGAGCAGCGCCGCCGATAACGGCGCATTGTATTGTCGAGATAGTTCGCGACGATTCTATACGTCGGGTACTCAAATTCGTTTCCTGCTTTATCTTCGATACACCCTTTTCATGGTTGCTGCATGGTATAACGTGCGTATCATTTTATTTCGACGATAATTATTTTCGTGCATCAGATTTGGAAAGCCTAACGTTTTTTTTTATATATAAATTAGAATGGTTTTGTAACTTAATTTTTAAGTGGAAAAAAAACGAAAGGGGAAAAGAGATCCGTACCTGTTAGTAGGTACAATGTTAGCATGAGATATCCATCGTTACACATTCTATGTCGTGACCACTGTTTCCCGACCTACCACACCTTACTGCTCCCTTTT